TGTCAAATACGAGTAGGAAACAAGAAATTATGGATTAGAAATTGGATTACCAAGTCATCAATTGGATTAAATGGTCCTCAAGCTCAACTATATGTGAAAAAATTATTCATTGATTAGATTAGATCAATGAACTAGTTCAATTTAGAATTTATCTCTCAATCGTGTGATCATTTACTTACAATTCCAATTTTGTCCAGCATAGACTGAAAAATCTGAAATAAACATTAGTTGGCCAATATATATCAAAACTGGTTTTGATAACTTGAAACAATTCAAGGTTCCGTCATGATCACTCAAATGGTCTAGGAATAACAGTATTCACACAAAAATTTGAATTATAATTAAGTTTCTAACATATATAGTTCACCCAATTTGACAACCCATAAATTTATTTGTCGACTTTTTGTGATACGACTATACGAGTGTAACGAAAATCCTCTTTACCGTTCTAAACAAATACTCTACAAGAATTATGGTTGGGAACGAGGGATACAAGTTCGGGACATGTTGGTGTCGGTTTTTTATTTTTTGTAAAAAATAAAAGGGGTAGCTAGGACGGATCTTTTAAAGTTTAAATAGGCGTTTTCAGTTTTTGGACGAATGAAAAACGAAATGCATGTTTTCTAAGTAACAATTTTTGCTCAAATTAAACACATAAAAGCTAAAAGCGGGTGAAAGAGTGTTTTAAACCGTTTTCATATTTTGTATCACGCAAAAAATACTTATTTAATAAATACTATCAAACTCACACTGGTGGCTCAGTTGGTTGAGTGGTGAGAAAGTTAGAACATTGACTAAGGATCGAAATACGTAGCGGTTGTATGGAAGTTACAACGACTCTTGCGTGCTGCGTTGGACATCTGATGTGCACAGCCGCACAGGTACAAAGTCTACCACCATTAAGCTGCCAGGATCACTGTGATTTACAACTTCCCAAATGTCGTGTCAGGTCGGGACGCGAGTGCTCTTGGGGTTGAGGATTCAACCTTTGGAACATTACTAAAAAGTATGACCTATTCTTTAACATAACTATTTTTTCTCAAGTACTATCAACTTTTAATATTAAACACTTTCCCAAAACCATTTTAAAAAATCAGTTTTTAAAATAGAACCATTACAAATACTCATTAAGATTCAAATAGGTCATGAGTTTTGAAAGAGCGGGTCATCGGACTGATTCATTTTTTTCTTTGAAATAAACGAAATCAATTACTATTAATCAAATCATAGTCAAAACAATAAAATGAGGAGGAAACGACGTACTTTAATTCCATTAGCAAGAGCTCAAATGCGGAGATAAACGTATACATACACCTTGATATCAATTCCTCATTTGAAGTTCTAGCTTCGAGGTTCATTGAGCATCTCTTGTAATTTCTTTTTGTAAATAAAAGATGTGACTTAATAATTCATATCGTTCGTCTTAATGATATTTACATAATTGCATGCATCTTGGAATTTTCAAGCTACGAGTAGTGACAATGCTATTTTATTTTCTACTTTCATCTTTTGCTGGTATTTAATTTGTGAAGACATGTACTAGACTACTAGTGTACTACTTATGTGTAAATTATTACAGGGAATTTTTCACTACATTCCAACTTTTATTTTAAACGATGTTACGATTCAAATTACGAAAATTGACATACTTGACGTGAATATATATACTCACATATCCATTTAATGGAATTGGTGATTCTTATAATTATTATAGACTAGAGATAAAGTGGACTTACTCGCTTATGACAGTTACTCACCCCTATATTGAGTCACATGACACATTATCAAACAAATTAAGCATAATTACTTGCATTACATGGGACATTATGAGCCCCTTCGGTAGCAAGAAAATCTGATGCAAGAAAATATGATGATTTGGCTTATTCTGTTGAAATTTATGAGATTCTGGCTAAAGTGATTGCATGGGCTGATTCTGCCGATTTGTAAAAAATTATTTTTAAAATATATTTCATTAATAAAATAAAGAAAAAATTATATGTAAAAATAACTAAAATGGTCATCTACAGTAACTTCAACCAATACAGCCAGAAAGTAACTTCAACCTTACTTTTTCTGCTTATTACACAATTCAGCGCGTGAAAGCAAAAGTTACGTGTTTGGTGAAAAGTTGGCTGATAAGTCTGATAAGCCGAAAAACAGTGTTACCAAACGACATCTATAATTTTAATTGAGTGAGAAATAAAATAAATAAAATTATAAATTCGTTACTTTAAATATTAAACTCACTGTAAAAAACAATCGATGTGACCTTGACATGAATTGATCGAATTTGGCACAAATCATAGCGTATTGTTTGTCTCGACACTAGGGCAGATAGTGGCAAAACAACATTGACATGGAATTTAACATATTTGTGTTATATCCATGTCAAAATCCGTGCTAAATTTGCTCAATTTTTTATTCTTTTCTAGTGACAGCCATCACTTTAGGCTTTTTGTGGTCAGCACACATCCAACCGGCCACCCAAAGTGCAGAATAGACTATTCGTTGCATTCAAACGTTCAAAGAACATAGACACATAATAAGATTTCTAAATTCATAATAATATGACATCGACATGCAAGTCACGTGTTCTCCTTTAAAGTTTGTCCCACTTTAAGTCCCACTTTTATTTATTCTCCTGAACAGCCAAACATAAAAGTTTGTGAACAACATCTAAGGCAATACGGAGTATGTTTTAAACAATTAAACAAACTTTAAGATCATGTTTTCTTTATTTGTTAATAAATTGTTTGTGTCGTAATCGCTTATGATCCACGTGAATCACATGATTAGCAACTTAAAGTTTTAAAGTGTTGTTTGGTAACGGATACATTAAGTATTAACAAGAGTTAATTTTTGCACAAATAGGACCAAAATACAAATTATGTTCCCATTGGACTATTTATATGTGTCTTGGACAAATATACCCTTATAGCTATTGGAATGTTTTAATTCATAATAAAATAATTAAAAATAATAAAAATTCATAAGAAATACCAAAAAATTAATAAATATATTTTAAATAATACAGAGTAATAAAATTGAAAAGAAAAATTGCAAAAAAAAAAATCATTGCCGCCTCTGCCGCCCCAGCACCACCACCTCCAGTCATATGGGAAAAAAAATGTCAAATTAATTATGAATGCCATATTTTTGGCAGAAGTAAGAATGATTCAAGTTGGCATTCCCAAAGAGAAATATGTCATTTTTTGGCATTTTCCGAAAAATGGCAGTTTTTAGTAAATATGGCTTTTTTTAACAGCCGTAGGCGGTGATGCAGGGAGGCAGTACCACCACCTCCTGTAAAAGTGGAAAAAATGTCAAATTCATTACGAATGTCATATTTTTGGCAGAAGTCGAAAGGATTCAAGTTGACAGAATGAAAGTGTTGGCACAAGTCAAAAGGAACACAGAGTAATATGCCACTTTTTTGGAATTTAAAAAAAAGATGGCATTTTTTACACCGATCGGAGGTGGTGGTGCAGGGAGGTAGTACAGGCGGTGGGAGAGGCATCCATATTTTTTTATTTTTTTTATGGAGTTTTACTATTTTTTTATTAATTTTAAAAAAAATTATTTTTTTTTAAAAAAAATTTCTTAATTTTTTATTATTTTTCTACGAATTTTTAAAAAAAAATCGAATTAAACATTTAATTATTACTTTTTATTATGTTTTACTCATATTTAAATGAGGGGTAAGAATTGAATGAAGAAATAAGTATGTTTTCAATATGACCAATATGGTTCTATTTTCAAATAAAAAAACATACAAGTCCTATTTTGAGTTTTTGCCATTATTTTAGTCCTATTTGAAGGCAGTCAAATGATTTTTTGAAGATAAATGAGAAGTTAAACAGCGCAGTACATTTCGGAAAATCATTTGACTGTCTTCCCGGTTGAGTTTTTAGCTGAAATTTGGTATGGGTAAACTAGACTTAATGAAGAAGATGCTCAAAAAATTTCATCAAAAAATTCCACCGAAGACCGCCCCAATTAGCGACGACCGGGCAGAACCTCCTATATAAGTGGCTAATTGAACACTTTAAGTTAGTTCAAGGGTATATTTGACCCTTTAGCCTAATTTATATTAACAACCATGTATCCACTCTTATACCCACCATGTTTGTTAAGATTTTTTTGTCTCTAAATCCGGTTCACAGATAAAATATGTGTTATTTTGTCTATGCAAATTTTGTGCAAACAAAATATAGTTTGCGAACGGAACTCACAGACTTAAAAAAAAATTCACAAACACAAGTTAATGTAAAAGTGAATATAAACATCATTTTTGTACCATCTCTAGTACAACTCAATATAATTAATGCTGAGACTGCCCTCATTGATCATTCACGTCTCAATTGAAGAAAGTTTTACTCTTTATATCCATCATTAATAAGTTCACACTATCGCACCTTCACATAAGGTTAAACCAAGCCAAGACTTATTAAAACACTGAGACTAGAAATAGACATCTCAGATTAGACATCTCAGATTATTCAATAGAATTAGCTAACAATATGTATTAAGATAGATTCAATCACAATCTTCGAAACGATTCCATCACAATTTCGAATTTGCCAGTAGTAACGAATATCTGGTTACGTATGCTAATAGGCTATGATCAAACATCACTGTATTCAAGTGAATTATTTTATAGCCGTTCCTAATTCCTATGGTATTTGTGTTAAAAAGAACTAAAAAGTAGCTAGTCATACTGATTGTAGCTATGTTAATTTTGAAAATAACCATAAAAATGTTAAAACGGTTTTAACTGGTTTATGAATTACATAAAGTAGAGGAAAATAAGAAACCCGAATTGGAGCCTTAAATAATTTTAAATTAAATATGCATACTCAAGGGATCCACACCAATTCAACAAAATGGTGGTGGAGATTAATAGATGATATATTTTAGGAATATTGTGTATTTTGGAAACTCCTATTTTATTATAAATATACCTGCCAGGGCTCCTAAGGGAGTATGGCCTTTCCATTCTATTCACATGGTATCAAGAGCCTAACCTAATTTTCTCTCTTAAATTTTTTTTTTTCTCGGCCGCCTCATGTCTTCCTCGGCCACAGCAGAGGTTCCGACCACTACCATCTCTTCCGCCGCAGCCACTCCAACCACGGCGCCGGAATCTGTGATCCCCACCACGAGTATGATGACACAGCAGTCTTCTTCCTCTACGATCTCTGCTAATTTATCCAGCGGCGTAATCAATTCTCCAGGATTACGTCCTTCGTCATCAACTCTATACTCAAATTTTCCGCCACCACCAATATTTTCTGTGGCAGAACCGTATACCCTTTTCCGCACGGTGCCGCGAATTCCGACTCCGCCGCCGGTGGTTCAGACTCCTGCGCATACTTCTCCACCTCCACCGCCTGCATCTTCCTATTTTGGCTCCACTTTTTCTGGTTCACCAGGTGTCATAAGACCGGCCGAACAATCTATTTTTGGCTCACCCATGGCGGCCCTTGCCCAATCCGTGGCGCATATCACCACGATCTCACAAATTGTCACTATTAAATTAAAGGCGGTGGAAGACTATCTCACTTGGCGCACTCAGTTCGAATCCTTCTTGGTTTCTCAAGGTCTACTTGGAATTGTTGATGGCTCCATAGAGGTACCCCCTATGTATACCATTGATTTTGCTAATCGACAAGTTCCGAATCCCGATTATTATTACTGGTTACGAGTAGATCAAACAATTCGGTGCTGGTTGTTTGCTACGTTAACTCGGGATGTTTTAGTTGATGTTCATGATTTAAAACATTTTGCTGCTATCTGGACTCGACTTCAGACTCGCTTTATGTCTGCTAGTCTACCACGGAGCATGGAACTTAAACGGTTATTGTCTACCATCAAGAAGAAAGAAAATCAATCCATGGAACTTTACTTACGAGAAATAAAAAACATTGTTGATCCCCTTGCTGCAATTAATTCCCCTGTTTCGGATAAAGAACTGCTAGAATATATTTTGGCTGGCTTGGGACCTGAATATAAGTCCTTTGTTACTACTGTGTCCTTATTTCCCCATCAGTTCCCGTTTGATATATTGCAACCCCGGCTCATGGAAGAAGAACAAAAAGTTTTATCTGAACATCAACAACACCTTTCGGTTGGTCATCAAGCATTTGTGGCCGCTGCTGCCGGTGAACAGCCACCAGCAAATTATTCCACACGCGGCAGAGGAGGCCGCGGACGGGCTGGGGGTCGAGGCAGAACGGGACGCGGACGAGGCCGTGGTCCGCCGCCTCAGTACGGAGCACCACAGCAGTTGTTTGGGGCCCCACAGCCTTACTTCGGTCAGCATCCTTCCGGCGGGCAGCAGTCCTATGCCGGTCAGCAGGGTCAGCAACTTCCAGGAGGGCAGTTTGTTGGGAGACAGCAGCCTGGGTATTCCAGCCCGACCTACGGCAGGCCGCCAGTTCCGTTTCAGGGGGTGCTATCCTCTTCCTCAAACACTACAGGTTCTGCTAGTAATACTGTTGTGTCCACTTTAAATGCTAATCCCTTTTATATTTGTGATACTCACACTAGCTATGCAGGCTTTCCGTCGGGTGAGGGAATTCTTGGGTCCATCCCACCACCCGTAGTCTGTCAATTATGTTTCAATGCAGGTCATTCAGCTCTCCAGTGTCCTTCCCGCTTTAGTCAACCATCTGCACCAGCCCTGCTTGCAAATAATGGTGAATCCAATTCTGCTTTATGGTACCCTGATTCCGGTGCATCTGCTCACATGACTCCTACAGAAGGTATTTTAGTTAATAAATTCCCTTATACTGGACCGCTTTCTGTTAGTGCTGCAAATGGATCCCATTTATCTATAGCTAATATTGGTGATGTTACTTTAAATACTTCTCCTCGTACTCTCACGTTGAAATCAGTCTTTCATGTGCCTCATATTAAATTTAATCTTCTATCCATTCAAAAATTGTGTGCTGATAACAACTTTGTTGTAATTTTTGATAAAAATTCCTTTTTTGTTAAGGACAAACTCTCGGGGGCGGTTCTTCTGCAAGCACCTAGTCATGGTCACCTTTATCCAGTCAGCCTCAGTTCTCCATCACCGCTAGCTTTGTCATCCATTACTACCTCTGGACCCATCTGGCACCGTAGATTAGGCCATTGTGGCACTTCTATCTTACGTAGTTTACAAAGTCAGAAGCATATTTGTAGTAACTCTAGTTTTTCCCATGATTGTATTTCCTGCCGCTTAGGCAAATCTCAACGTTTACCTTTTACAGATGCTAGTCATCATTGTACTATGCCTTTGCAATTAATTCATTCGGATGTTTGGCAGTCTCCTATTTTATCTAATATGGGCTTTAAATATTATGTGTGCTTTATAGATGATTTTTCTCGCTTCACCTGGATTTATCCTATGAAAACTAAGAGTGAGGTGTTTCGCCACTTTCAATGTTTCAAATCCTTAGTTGAAAATCTTTTTAATACTAAAATTAAGATTTTTCAAAGTGATGGAGGGGGTGAATTTGTTAATTTTACCATGCAGCAATTTTTTAATGATCATGGCATTTATTTTCGCAAGTCCTGTCCGGACACACCTCAACAAAATGGGGTCGCTGAACGTAAACATCGACATCTCTTGGAACTCACTAGAACCATGCTTCTTGAAGCTTCTATTCCTAGTCAGTTCTGGGTGGATGCCATCTTTACGGCTGCATATATTATTAACCGTTTACCATCTCCGTTACTTGGAAACACCTCTCCTTATGAAATTCTTTTTCACCAATCACCTGACTACTCCTTCATGCGTGTGTTTGGTTGCTCTTGTTTTCCCAATATTACTGCCACATCCTCTAACAAACTCTCAGCAAGGTCTGTTCACTGTGTTTTTATTGGCTATGCATCTGGTTATAAAGGGTATCGTTGTCTTGACCCTAAGTCTGGTAGAATTTACATCAGTCGTCACGTTAAGTTTTTAGAAAATAATTTTCCTTTTCCTTTCCTGAGTTCTCCTAACCATGAACCTTCCACTATATCTCCATCATTTGAATTTCAGTTGACCAACACCCTTCGGCCACAACCTACCATCCCCGCCAGTTTACCATAGATCATGGGTTGTGGTTACAAAGGTCGGCTAGTCCGCTGTGTATTTTGGCTTATTCTGATGCTGATTGGGCTGGTTGCCCAGACAGTTCTCGTTCGACTACAGGCTATGCAGTCTTCTTGGGCCCTAATCTTGTCTCATGGAAATCCAAGAAGCAACCTACGGTCTCCAAATCTTCTACAGAGGCGGAATATCGTGCTATTGCCTATACTGTACAGGATACACTACACATCCGTTCCATTTTGTTTGAGCTCGGCCATCCTGTACGAGTACCTGTTCAGCTTTTTTGTGATAATATTTCTGCCTCCTACTTGACAGCAAATCCAGTTCAACATGCTCGTAGCAAGCACATTCAGATAGATTATCATTTTGTTCGTGAGAGGGTTGCACATGGCGATTTAGTTGTTAAATATGTTCCTACTCATCTTCAACTAGCTGATATTTTTACCAAAAGTTTATCTAGTCAACAGTTTCATTTTTTAAAAGACAACCTGCGCGTTGTATCTCCCGCACAGCTTGAGGGGGTGTAATAGATGATATATTTTAGGAATATTGTGTATTTTGGAAACTCCTATTTTATTATAAATATACCTGCCAGGGCTCCTAAGGGAGTATGGCCTTTCCATTCTATTCACAGAGATATGATCTCAAATAATTTTTTAGCAAAGTAATTTAATGTCTGGCGTGTATAAAGAGTTCATGAATAAACTCGCATACTATCGTAAACACAAGACCTTACCTCGTACTTAGTCTCCGTTGAGCTACTCGATCATATCGGGGATTCCACATGCAAACTATGTAATACCTATACCACGGGTGAGAAATTAATCAAAGTATCAGTGTATCACATTATTGTTAATTCGAAATCTCCAAATTGCATTTCTGGAAAATTAAAGCGACTCTCTCCTTTCTAGTTCTAGCTAAAAGTCACATTCATACATACATAGATAGCTTAAAGGCCCGCAATACAATTTAATGCACGTCGTAACGTAGTCCATATGAGTGGTGACAACTCAATAAGGTTACGATGCAGCCATCTCTCATCAGCCATGTGTGGATGGATTGTTACTTATTACTTTTAATTAATTTAGTCTTATAACTAGTTTGCTTTATTTTCGTTAAGGCCCTCATGGGGTAGGGGTTGTTGGCCCACATAAGTAATTTCTTTAGGTCCATTATTTTCTTATTTACAATCAGACGGCAATTGGTATTTGGGGTATTTGAAACTGGTTCTACTTCTGCTTTTGCATCTTTCTTATAGCAGAAGCAGAATTAAAATCAGTTTTCAGGAGCTGGTCTCCCACATTTTCTAAAAAAACTAATTCTAAGAGTAAATTAGAGCACTATAATGACTTCTGCACTTTCATACAAACACTTCAACTTCTGTTTTAATAATCAAATCCAAACAACCCCTTGGTAATATAGGAACTATACAGACACTAACACACGGATGCGGAACATTTTACATAGTCTTAAGAGACAAAGAGTTGGCATATAGCAAGACTGATAATACGGAAACATATGTCATCAGAGGCTTTAAGGCTTGTTTGGTTATTTACGTATTACGGAGTGAAAAATGCTAGAGGTACACGTTTTGTGTACACGTTTGGTGTACACTTGTCTGTCCTTCACAGACAAATTGTCTGTCACAGACAATTTGTCTGTGAAGGACAGACAAGTGTACACCAAACGTGTACACAAAACGTGTACCTCTAGCATTTCTCATTACGGAGTATAATATTGCATTGCAAACAATCCATGTAAAAATTAGATAAACAAACCCTTTGAACTAGAGTTTTACCTCTCCACCACATAAGCTACTTTACATGATGCAATGTTTAAAACAAATTTTGTACAATTTATGTTAAGTAATGAAAGTAAAATTATGACAAAGTTAGTGGAACAACCAAAAAGAAAAGTTGACAAAATTTTAATGAATGAAAGGAGTATAATAATAATGTAAATAAGTAAAGTTAGAGTTATTTTTATGACTGAATATTTTTAACTATACACAAACACTCCTATATTTCATTAATTTAGTTTCTTTAATTTATTGATAGAATATTTTTTATTTAACTTTTTGACAATTGATCGAATACATTCAGTCACTTAAATGTTTTCAAGGTAACTTAAATTCGAATGTATTAAGCCCATTTAAATAACTTTAGTATTACTAAAAAAAGATGACACTCCATCTCTAGAGATCCCTGTAATCGATCGAACAATTATTTGAGATGATGCAGTTGAATTTAATCACTTTCTGGAAGGAAGGAATTACATAGTTTTCATTCTAAGCGTGGAGTTGAACTCGAGATTTCTCCCCCTTTGTACACAATCTTACCAGATGAGCAACTCCCCCGCCCCGTTAATAGCATTAGTATTACTAAACGAGCTAGGGTCCTAGTCCTAGCCAGTCAGTGACATACTACGTTTCCGGCCTACACTACCTCGCTAGCTAGCTGCAATTCCTTAGACCAGCCGTCGGACGACCACCGGGTACGCCATCCCTTACGTCATTTCTAGAATACTATTATTATATTGCGGGAAAAGGTGCAAATAGGTTCATGTACTAACCAAAAAAGGTCAAATAAGCCCTTATTTAGGAGTATGACCCCTATATGAGTCACATGACACATTATCAAACAAATTAAGCATAATTACTTGCATTACATGGGACATTATGAGCCCGTTTGGTAGCACAAAAATCTGCTGATTTGGCTGATTCTGTTGAAATTTATGAAATTCTGGCTGAAGTGGTTGCATGGGCTGATTCTGCCGATTTGTAAAAAATTATTTTTAAAATATATTTCATTAATAAAATAAGGAAAAAATTATATATAAAAATAGCTAAAATGGTTATCTACAGTAACTTCAACAAATACAGCCAGAAAGTAACTTCAACCTTACCTTTTCTGCTTATTACACAATTCAGTGCGCGAAAGCAAAAGTTACGTGTTTGATGAAAAGTTGGCTGATAAGTCTGATAAGCCGAAAAACAGTGTTGCCAAACGACCTCTATAATTTTAATTGGGTGAGAAATAAAATAAATAAAATTATAAATTCATTACTTTAAATATTAAACTCAAAAACAATTGATGTGACCTTGACACAAATTGATCGATTTTGGCACGAATCATGGCGTATTGTTTGTCTCGACACTAGGGCAGATAGTGACAAAACAACATTGCCATGGAATTTAACATATTTGTGTTATATCCATGTCAAATATTCTATAAATTAATTATGATGAATCTGTGTCAAAATCCGTGCTAAATTTGCTCAATTTTGTATTCTTTTCTAGTGACAAAGCTAGGGGTGGGATTTTGGAACCAGGAACCGTAGAACCGATTGGAATCGAACCGTAAACAACATCTAAGAACCGAACCGTTAACAATTAATGTCTCATTTGTAGGAACCGAACCGAAGTGAGTTATAACGGTTCGGTTCCCGGTTCCTATAAAAAATATGTGCATAGAACCGTTAAGGAACCGTTATTAAAAAAATATAAAATAAAATAATATTAGTAGTAGTAGTAACAATAATAATAATAATAGCAATAATAACCACCACCACAACAACAATAATAAAACAATATAAGATATTTAACTAACAATTCTAATTTAATCAACGGAAAAGAAGTAATAAATATTGTACATGAGGTTGATATAATACATTAAACTCCTTTCTACAAATCAAGTTTTGTTCCATCACATAAATTTAATAAATATAAAATAACCCAAATAACTTGTAGTTGATTGCACATATTTTACTTTACTATTTTCATGATATTTCTAATTATTAGATTTATTATGAATCAATAGAATGTAATAATGTTTTTTATATCTATAAATGCAAACTCAATGTCTTTTTTTTATGTTTTGAAAGACTTGAAGTAGGTGTCCTATTCTTGCTACTATGATGACGAGTAACCTTCATCGCTCCGACACTACAACGACTTTTTATGTTTCATTTATTACATGAAATTTAAATCACTTTTGTTCTATTAAGTGTTCAAAGTTCATTAGTTAAGTTTGAGATTTGATGTTTGAAGTGATTAGAGCTTCAAATAAAATTTTAATACTCGTGTTTTGAATTTTCGACGTGTTTATGTTGTTTGTAGAAAGTAAATTATGCGTTAATTCTTAGACGAGAAAAAATTATTCTAGGAACCGGTAAAAGGAAGAACCGAACCGTTTACTATCGGTTCGGTTCCATAACGGTTCTTGATTTTTAATATAGGAACCGAACCGATTTCATTAGTTAAAACTTTTATAACGGTTCCACTCATTTTGAGTAAGAACCGAACCGGTCCCAGCCCTAGACAAAGCCATCACTTTAGGCTTTTGGTGGTCAGCACACATCCAACCGGCCACCCAAAGTGCAGAATAGACTATTCGTTGCATTCAAACGTTCAAAGAACATAGACACATAATAAGATTTCTAAATTCATAATAATATGACATCGACATGCAAGTCACGTGTTCTCCCCTCTTTTTGTCCCACTTTTATTTGAGCAGTGTTTGCGGTTGTTTAAAAAAGCGTTTTTCAGCTTTTGGCTTAAAAAAAGCTAAAAAGAGTGTTTTTAAATGACAGCTTCTGTTTAAATTAATCACTTAAAAGCTTAAAGTTGGAAGCAGGTGGAAGGGTGCTTTAAACTGCTTTTCACTTTTTCTTTTACACAAAAAGTACTTATTTTACTAAACATTACCAACTTTTACTTTTTCAGAATCACTTTTTTCTCAAACACTACCAACTTTTACTGTTAATCACTTTTCCGAAAATCACTTTAAAAAAATCACTTTTTTAAAGTTGAAGCAATTGCAAACACTCCTTTATTCTCCTGAACAGCCAAACATAAAAGTTTGTGAACAACATCTAAGAGCAATATGTTTTGGTATTCTCATGAGTTTGTGAACAAACAAACAACATCAGGAGCTGGTCTCCCATATTTTCTAAAAAAACTGATTCTAAGAGTAAATTAGAGCACTATTGATGGATAGTCTATCCGGGGGTATCTTATCCGAGGGGTTATTGCGGGAATAACTAGAGAGAAGTCAGAGCGAAATAAGAGAAGAGAGAGTCGATTGTAGTATTAAATGAACTCAGCGTGGTTTACAAGGTGAAGAAGGGCTGCTATTTATAGCAGCAATAAATGCGATGAGAGTACACGTGTCAACAATCCAACGGCCGAGGGGTCACATCAATCGGGTGGCACTGGCAGTGGCATGTTCACCGCATTGAATGCGGTGGGTGGATGTGACGTCGTATTAAATGTGGTGGTTGGCTGTCTCCAAAGGGAATCTTCGATGATTGAGCCTATTTGGCCGAGGGCTCCTCGAGTAGCCGAGGTCTCTGTTCTTCACCCGAGGGCTTCTCTAATGCCGAAGGCTTCACAGTGCCGAAGGCTCCTGTTTTCTTCCGTTTTCTCCCAGTAGCTTGTATGTCGGAAAAGTCTATGCTGTGAGTTTTGGAGCCTTCGGCCAAGGAGGCCGAAGGCACCCCAGTGTGTACTTCGGGCTTCTTTGAGCCTTGGGCCGTTGTATTTGGGCCTCTGATGCTCCCTGGGCTTAATGGTTTTTGTGGGAGAAGCAGGAGTCTATGGGCCGGGGGTTCCTGGGCCATATATTCCATCAACTATAATGACTTCTGCACTTTCAACCAAACACTTCAACTTCTGCTTTAAGAATCAGATCCAAACAACCCTCGGTAATATAGGAACTATACACACACTAACACACGGATGTGGAACATTTTACATAGTCTTAAGAGACGAAAGAGTTGGCATATAGCAAGACTGATAATACGGAAACGTATGTCATCAGAGGCTTTAAGGCTTGTTTGGTTATTTACGTATTACGGAGTATAATATTGCATTGCAAACAATCGCATGTAAAAATTAGATAAACAAACCCTTTGAACATAGAGTTTTACCTCTCCACCACATAAGCTACTTTACATGATGCAATGTTTAAAACAAATTTTCTACAATTTATGTTAAGTAATGAAAGTAAAATTATGACAAAGTTAGTGGAACAACCAAAAAGAAAAGTTGACAAAATTTTAATGAATGAAAGGAGTATAATAATAATCTAAATAAGTAAAGTTAGAGTTATTTTTATGACTGAATATTTTTAACTATACACACATACTCCTATATTTCATTAATTTAGTTTCTTTAATTTATTGAAAGAATATTTGTTATTTAACTTTTTGACAATTGATCGAATACATTCAGTCACTTAAATGTTTTCAAGGTAACTTAAATTCGAATGTATTAAGCCCATTTAAATAACTTTAGTATTACTAAGAAAAGATGACACTCCATCTCTAGAGATCCCTGTAATCGATCGAACAATTATTTGAGATGATGCAGTTGAATTTTGATCACATTCTGGAAGGAAGGAATTACATAGGTTTCATTCTAAGCGTGGAGTTGAACTCGAGATCTCTCCCCCTATATACATAATCTTACCAGATGAGCTCCTCCCCGGCCCCGTTAATAGCATTAGTATGACTAAACGAGCTAGGGTCCTAGTCCTAGCCAGTCAGATTGCTAGCTATTTGGCTTGCTCTATTTATTTACGGACTATAAATGAAAACATCACTAGAGCTAGACGAGTTCCAAATAGAAGAGGAGCGATAGTGCGGGTGGAAGGAAGGAGTTACATACGTTTCCGGCCTACACTACCTCGCTAGCTAGCTGCAATTCCTTAGACCAGCCGTCGGACGACCACCGGGTACGCCATCCCTTACATGCATCATTTCTAGAATACCATTATTATATAGTGGGAAAAGGTGCAAATAGGCTCATGTAGTAACCAAAAAACGTCAAATAAGCTCTTATTTAGGAGTATAACCCCTATATGAGTCACATGACATATTATCAAACAAATTAAGCATAATTACTTGCATTACATGGGACATTATGAGCCCGTTTGGTAGCACGAAAATCTGCTGATTTGGCTGATTCTGTTGAAATTTATGAAATTCTGGCTGAAGTGGTTGCATGGGCTGATTCTGCCAATTTGTAAAAAAATTATTTTTAAAATATATTTTATTAATAAAATAAAGAAAAAATTATATGTAAAAATAACTAAAATGGTCATCTACAGTAACTTCAACCAATACAGCCAGAAAGTAACTTCAACCTTACTTTTTCTGCTTATTACACAATTCAGCGCGCGAAAGCAAAAGTTACGTGTTTAGTGAACAGTTGGCTGATAAGTCTGATAAGCCAAAAAACAGTGTTGACAAACGACTTCTATAATTTTAATTGGGTGAGAAATAAAATAAATAAAATTATAAATTCGTTACTTTAAATATTAAACTCAAAAACAATTGATGTGACCTTGACACGAATTGATCAATTTTGGCACGAATCATAGCGTATTGTTTGTCTCGACACTAGGGCAGATAGTGGCAAAACAACACTGACATGAAATTTAACATATTTGTGTTATATCCATGTCAAATATACTATAAATTATGATGAATCTGTGTCAAAATTCGTGCTAAATTTGCTCAATTTTTTATTCTTTTCTAGTGACAAAGCCATCACTTTAGGCTTTTTGTGGTCAGCACACATCCAACCGGCCACCCAAAGTGCAGAATAGACTATTCGTTGCATTCAAACGTTCAAAGAACATAGACACATAATAAGATTTCTAAATTCATAATAATATGACATCGACATGCAAGTCACGTGTTCTCCCCTCTTTTTGTCCCACTTTTATTTATTCTCCTGAACAGCCAAACATAAAAGTTTGTGAACAACATCTAAGAGCAATATGTTTTAAACAATTAAACAAACTTTAAGATCATGTTTTCTTTATTTGTTAATAAATTGTTTGGGTCGTAATCGCTTATGATCCACGTGAATCACATGATTGGCAACTTAAAGTCTTAAAGTGTTGTTTGCTAACGGATACATTAAGTATTAACAAGAGTTAATTTTTGCACAAATAGGACCAAAATACAAATTATGTTTCCATAGGACTAATTATGTGTGTCTTGGACAAATATACCCTTATAGCTACTGGAATGTTTTAATTCATAATAAAATAATTAAAAATAATAAAAATTCGTAAAAAATACCAAAAAATTAATAAAAATATTTTAAATAATACGGAGTAATAAAATTGAAAAAAAAATTGCAAAAAAAAATCACCGCCGCCTCTGCCGCCCCAGCACCACCACCTCCAGTCATATGGGAAAAAAATGCCAAATTAATTATGAATGTCATATTTTTGGCAGAGGTAAGAATGATTCAAGTTGGCATTCTCAAAGAGAAATATGCCATTTTTTGGCATTTTCCGAAAAAATGGTAGTTTTTAGTAAATATGGCTTTTTTTAACAGCCGGAGGCGGTGGTGCAGGGAGGCAGTACCACCACCTCCTGTAACTGGGGGAAAAATGCCAAATTCATTACGAATGCCATATTTTTGGCAGAAGTCGAAAGGATTCAAGTTGACAGAATGAAAGTGTTGGCACAAGTCAAAAGGATCAAAGAGTAATATGCCATTTTTTTGGAATTTAAAAAAAAGATGGCATTTTTTACACTGATCGGAGGTGGTGGTGCAGGGATGCCAGGGAGGTAGTACAGGCGGTGGGAGAGGCATCCATATTTTTTTTATTTTTTTTAATGGAGTTTTACTATTTTTTTATTAATTTAAAAAAAAATTAATTTTTGTTGATTTTTTATTTTATAAAAAAATTCTTAATTTTTTTATCTTTGTACGAATTTTTAAAAAAAATCCGAATTAAACATTTAATTATGACTTTTGATTATGTTTTACTCATATTTAAATGAGGGGTAAGAATGAAATGAAAAATAGGTATGTTTCCAATTGGACCAATATGGTCCTATTTTCGAATAAAAAAACATACAAGTCCTATTTTGAGTTTTTGCCATTGTTTTTGTCCTATTTGAAGGCAGTCAAATGATTTTTTGAAGATAAATGTGAAGTTAAACAGCGCAGTACATTTCGGAAAATCATTTGACTGTCTTCTCGGTTGCGTTTTTAGCTGAAATTTGGTATGGGTAAACTAGACTTAATGAAAAAGATGCTCAAAAAATTTCATCAAAAATTTCCACCGGGAACCGCCCCAATTAGCGACGGCCGGGCAAAACCTCCTATATAAGGGGCTAATTGAACATTTTAAGTTAGTTCAAGGGCCTATTTGACCCTTTAGCCTAATTTATATTAACAACCATGTATCCACTCTTATACCCACCAATCCACCATGTTTGTTAAGATTTTTTGTCTCTGAATCCGGTTCACAGACAAAATATGTATTATTTTCTCTATGCAAATTTTGTGCAAACAAGATATTGTTTGAGAACGGAACTCACAGACAAAAAAAATTTCACAAACATAAGTGAATATAAAAGTGAATATAAGAGTGATTATAAACATCATTTTTGTACCATCTCTAGTACAACTCAATATAATTAATGCTGAGACTGCCCTCATTATTCATTCACGTCTCAATTGAAGAAAGTTTTGCTCTTTATATCCATCATTAATAAGTTCACACTATCGCACCTTCACATAAGGTTAAACCAAGCCAAGACTTATTAAAACTCTGAGACTAGAAATAGACATCTCAGATTAGACATCTCAGATTATTCAATAGAATTAGCTAACAATATGTATTAAGATAGATTCAATCACAATCTTCGAAACGATTCAATCACAATTTCGAATTTGCCAGTAGTAACGAATATCTGGTTACGTATGTTAATAGGCTATGATCAAACGTCACTGTATTCAAGTGAATTATTTTATAGCCGTTCCTAATTCCTATGGTATTTGTGTTAAAAAGAACTAAAAAGTAGCTAGTCATACTGATTGTAGCTATGTTAATTTTGAAAATTACCATAAAAATGTTAAAACGGTTTTAACTGGTTTATGAATTACGTAAAGTAGAGGAAAATAAGAAACCCGAATTGGGGCCTTAATTAATTTTAAATTAAATATGCACACTCAAGGGATCCACACCAATTCAACAAAATGGTGGTGGAGATATGATCTCAAATAATTTTTTAGCAGAGTGATTTAATGTCTGGCGTGTATAAAGAGTTCATGAATAAACTCGCATACTATCGTAAACACGAGACCTTATCTCGTACTCAGTCTCCGTTGAGCTACTCGATCATATCGGGGATTCCACATGCAAACTATGTACGGGTAATACCTATACCACGGGTGAGAAATTAATCAAAGTATCAGTGTATCACATTATTGTTAATTCGAAATCTCCAAATTGCATTTCTGGAAAATTAAAGCGACTCTCCCCTTTCTAGCTAAACGTCACATTCATACATACATAGATATCTTAAAGGCACGCAATACAATTTAATGCGATGATATTTTTTAATACGAAATGAATTTTGAATATGAAAATTATATCAAAATATTTCTTATTAAAAATATTTTAATACAAGTATAAATTTATGAATTGCATACAAATATAGTGATTAAAATCATTGTTCAATGTTTGTTATCATTAGTAAAAATCAATATTTAGAAAGAGTAAATTGTGTGTACTAAATAAGTCCTGGGTGACAACTCAGGGTCTGTTTGCAACAGCTTCTGCTTTTAAAAAAATGTTTTTTTAATAAAATGGAGAGAAGTGATTAAATAAAAGTTGATAGTGTTTGAGAAAAAAGTGATTTTGAAAAGTAAAAGTGGGTAGTGTTTGATAAAATAAGTGCTTTTTGTGTAATAGAGAAAGTAAAAACACTTTTGACGCGGAAGTCGAGAAAAATAAAAGTTGTAGTGTTTGGGAAAATAAGTGCTTTTTTAAAGTCAAAAACTCAGAAGTACTTTTTTAAAAGGAGTTGCAAACCAACCCTCATCAGAAGTCAATAAGGTTACGGTGACTTTTTTAAAATAAATACTTTTTTAAAATAAGTGTTTTTTTAAAATCAATAAGGTTACGATGCAGCCAGTTCTCATCAGCCTTGTGGGGATGGATTGTTACTTATTACTTTTAATTAATTTAGTCTTATAACTAGTTTGCTTTATTTTCGTTAAGGCCCTCATGGGGGTAGGGGTTGTTGGCCCACATAAGTAATTTCTTTAGGTCCATTATTTTCTTATTTGTATGGGCTGATTCTATCGATTTGTAAAAAATTATTTTTAAAATATATTTCATTAATAAAATAAAGAAAAAATTATATGTAAAAATAGCTAAAATGGTCATCTACAGTAAATTCTCTTATATAGTCGATCAAGTTGTTGCACAATTAAATTCTCATTTTGTTACGCTCGGCATGTAGAAATTAAAGAATCTTGAACATATAAAATTATATACTTACAAAATTCAAAATAAATTGACATTTGAATAACATACTAAGCTAGTATATTGCATTAAAGTATATGAAATTAATTAATTACTTTTGTTTATAAAGTTTATAAAGTTTAACTAAACAAGTGATTGAGATTGATGAAGGGTTTTTCCCTTCAATATAACTAAATTAAAGCTACTTTCCTGAAATGTGACCTTTTTTCAAAAAGCCAAAAAAATGACTAATAAGGTCACATATTTGCCTGAAATGTCACTGCTGGTGTCACTGTAACCGCTGGCTATGTCACTATAGCCACCGCCGATGTCACTGTAGCCATCACCCCGTGTCATTGTAGTCACCGCTCGTGTCACTGTAGCCACCGTCAGTGTCACTATGGCCACCGCCCATGTCACTGTAGCCGTCTGTGTCACTACACCGCAAAACG